TAACACTGTTGAGGCCTTTCTTAACCCTAATATTGACCATGAGGTGACCACCACCACGACACACTGCACAAGTATTGCGCGAACCTTCTTTAAGCAACTCTTCTCCTTGCAAATAACTAACCCTCTTGACGAAGGACACCGGAGGGAGCTGGAGGAGTATCTCGGCCCATTGGATAAAAGACTTAGCCCTCAACAGAAAGAAAAAATTGAACAACCTGTTAAGAAAGATGAGATATGGACGACCCTCCTTCAGATGGATGAGGACAAAATTCCAGGGGTGGATAGTTTCCCTAAAGAATTTTTGGAAATCATGTGGTCAACCCTACACAAGGACCTGATGGGTTACTACAGGGCGGTATGGAGAATAAGACAGATGGGGGAATGTGTGGGTCAGGAGGTGTTGTCCCTCTTATACAAAACAGGAGATAAAATGAATATAAAAAACTACCGACCCATCACCTTGCTAACGGTAGTCTACAAAATACTTGCTAAGGCCCTCGCAAATCGATTGCTTGAGGTAATGGAGGATATTATCCACCCGGCCCAATCAGGATTTATAAGATCCACAAACATCCAGGAAAACATACTCCTAGTCAATGAGATGATCCATCTTGCTCAGCAATCCAAACAGAACGCGGTCTTCATCTTTATTGACTTCGAGAAGACCTATGACCATGTGGATTGGACCTTCCTGGATGCATGCCTCAAGAAAATGAATTTTAGGCCCAATTTGAGAAGATGGGTTCATATCCTCCACCATAATGCAACAACACGTGTGCAAATAAATGGGAATTTAGCACCAGCGATTACGCTGCAGCGCTCGATCAGACAAGGGGACCCCATCGCCCCCTTCCTTTTTGTTATAGTTATGGAAGCACTGTCGGTCAATTTACGACATAACAAGGACATAAGAAAAATCAAGATTGCAAATATCCCAGAGGAAGCCATTCCGGTATGCTCCCTCTTCGTCGACGACCTCACAATAATGACCAATTCCTGGGAGGGTAACATGGAAGAGATACAGAGGCTGATGGATCGATTCTGCAAACTGTCAGACATGGCTGTCAACTGGGGGACCAAAACTGTGGGTGGTGGATGCACCATCAAGGGGGGCGCCCGCCTGAAGCTCCCCGCATTAAATGACTCCCCTTGAAAGCCACAGTGAGAGTGCACGTCCAAATGACGGCAAATGGAAAACCAACCACGAATGACGAATGGGTCCAGTCACCCGCTCAAGACAAGATGAACGAATGGAATCAGAAGCCAACCTCGATTTTTGGGAGGGCACTAGTCATCAATAATGTTGTCATGACGTCTCTTTGGTACAAATCACTTATCTGGTCGTTAAGTGCAGCAGCCTTGAAGGCATTCAAGAAGCAGGCAACAACCTTTTTGTGGAGAGGAGATAGTGGATGCGAGCACGCTATCAGCAGGGTGGCGTGGGACACAGTAATCCAACCTAAGGCTAAAGGTGGTCTGGGGATTATTGACTCGACTCTCCAAACCCAGACCCTCAGCACGCAATGGATTAAGAACCTCATCCTGGGAACTGCCCAACCCTGTCACCCGTTAGCCATGAAACAAATTGTCAGACTCGCATCAGAAGCATCGGCAGGGGTGGACCCGCTTCTGTGGCTAGACGACAGGTATTGGAAACTCCCCCGTGGAGGGAGAGAAGATCAAAGGGAGGGCTCTTTAAAAGAAGAATTTTGGCCACGTATGATCACCCCCAGACCGTCTGGAACCAGAGAGATGGGAGGAAGTATACCGACAATCCCTCTTTGGCAACCGGCGCATCACGGACTCCCACGGGCAAGTAAGGTGCAGCTCCGTCCCTCCATGGAATGGATGGATCAAACATGGGATATGGAAGGTGGGGGACCTATGGGACGTCAGAACGAGAACATGGAGGAATCTAAAACAAATGAAGGAAAAATTGCGCTATTGCCATCATGTGCAGGAGACTCTGGACGGAATAATAGAAACTCTTACTCTCCAATGGTATAATATTCTAAGAACGGACCCGGTTTACAAGGAAGGAGATTGAGTGATGCAGAAAGGAGACCTTAATAGGGTCGGGATGATCCACCTGGTCAGTCCCACGGAGGTACTGATCGAGTTTTATACTATAACGAAGGGGAACAGACTAATCGGCAGCACAACCCCCTTTGTCTGGACAAATAAGGAAGAAGTTGACCGGATTAGAGTGATGGGGGGAGGTGAAAACCGCTGGGTATATAAACCTAGAACCCCGATCACAGAATTGGGCCTGGACCCAATTGAGTGGAGATGGAAACCGGCTGGCCCGACACGAGGAGGTATTCACAGAGACACAATACTTGAAAACCTCTCTGTTAAAACCACATATAGGATGATCAGGCCAAGATGGAATCTAAAAGACACAGTGAATGAGCGTTGGTACAGACACCTAAACGTTGACAGACATCTGCTAGCTCCAATCAGATGGTTCCATGAAAGCAAGAGGAGGCCGACCAAAATCACCTCCTTGCAATGGCAGATAGCCCATAGGTGCCTACCTACCAATAACTGGCTGATTGACCACACTAGGCTGGAACAACAGGGTCGCGCTCTCCCCTGGTGCAGCACATGCCTCCGAGGGTACCCGGCCAAAAAAGCAGCCGAAACCATTGAGCACATCTTTCTACAGTGCCCGAATGCGGCCCTCACCTGACGCTGGTGGGACTGGGTCTGGCAGCACATAGTCCCTGGATCCCTCTGGCCATGGGACTGGCGGCCCATCCTAACAGGTTTTTGGCCAGGACGGTCCGAAGAGGAGTTTGCGAATAATATGTTTGACCTGGGGAGACGAACAATCTTATGGACGCTGTGGTGGCAAAGATGTGTTATGACAATGGAAGAAGTACGATTGGAGGGGGAGGAGGTGCGCGAGCATATAAAAAACCATCTCCAGTTGGACATAACTGATAGATGGCAGACAGTAAAACGCAAGCTAGACCTTCTTCAGCAACCAAAGGATATTAAAGAAAGCATCACTAAATTCTGCCAAGAATGGTTGGGCGGGGAAAGGGAAGGCTAGATTGCGCAGGTGAAATGGTCAGGGGACGCGAACGAGGGCCCTCAGGGGGAGGGAGAGATGGCAAGAAGGAATTACTGCCTAAAATTTAAAGAATGGACTGACATCGACCCGAGCTTCCCAATGAGGCCAGCTTCCGATTTCCCGGACCCCTTCCCCCCACACCCTTTATCCCTAGTAGAAATAACTACGCCTTGAGGCTCTGTTTTGGATGCTGTTTTTTGGGGGGTTGCATTTTAACATAATTGGCTGTGGTCATCTTGATGAGATTGGAGTAGAAAAGGGACGCTGGACCCGATTTCCAGCAACGAGAGAAGAATTTTAAGAACCATGAAGGATGTTTGAGGTTTGAGCTGATGAGACAGACAGTGCAGTAAAACGATGGCAGGCAAGCAGGGGCACGGAAAGAACTTACTGGTGCCCTCCAGCGGCCGTGACCGGGCCCCTGCTCAAACCCTGTTTCTAGGATAGGTTAAGGATGGGACGCTGGACCCGGTTTCCAGCATCGGCGCTCTATCTCCTTTAATGTCCTTTGCAGCAATTTTTTCATGTAAGGGACGCTCGACCCGGTGTAGGGGTCGTACCCTAAAGGACTTTCGAGCCTGAGTCGACCCCACTGCGGGTCTCATTTGGCTCGACCCGCCCACGCTCACGCTCAGGGCGCGGGTCGTTCGTCCCAGGCGCATCCCCACCTAGCGCTTTGAGATGGATGGGGATGGGCCTTTTGCGAGAGGGCTTTACATTGGGGGATGTAGCTCCGCTCTCGATGGTAGCTCTTTGGGCACTCGTGGCGTTTGCTCGATTCCTTTTCGTCTGACCAGGCAATTGCTCATTCCAATACGCAAGCAGTTCAGGGAATTCATTGAGAGTTCATCTTCATCTCATGTGTAGACCAAACGTCATCCATTGGACCACACACATTTTCACTAAGCCTAGTGACTCAAGACGGCCCCTGCGGCATCCTTGGGGTGGGGTGGTATCGCCCGGACCCCTAGCCGCTATATTTTTTTTGCTAGAGCCACTAGCATTGCATTCACCTATCCGAGACCGCCCTTAGTCCTTCCGGGCTTGCATTGCATTCAAGAAAGTCATTGCATTCAACCATCACACAAGCCACGTCCAGGCGTCTACCACTTATTCAAGCATCCGACCGCCAAACCTATCCTCCATTCATAGTTTAAGCGAGGTCCGAGTCCGTCCCTTGTCCAGCTTCCCACCCTAACCCTTGTCTGCGGAACCAGTCCAGACCAAATCATCCCAAGCTACTCACCTGCGCAAGACCACACAAGCAAAGACCAAATACAATCCCCATTAGGGTCAACACACCACCCCTTCCCACCGGCCTAAGGTTCGTTCGTCTTTGATGATCCCTTGGTTATCTTTCCCTTCACTCAAGCAAGCTATGCCTTCACCTTAGTCATGCAGTCAGGGGAGATGGTTGAGTCAAACTGACCTCGTCCAAAATTAGCACTCCTTTTCGCTTTCGCAAATGCTCTCAATAGTCCTGTATGCTTTCCTTCTTGGTGGCACAAGGAACCGGCGGCCCTTCCCTTGCCCTCGCTTTCCACCAAGTGAGGACTAAGATCCTTTCCGTTCGTTTCCTGACAATGTAACAGGTGAGGGTAGAGGTTAGTCATATACCATGGAGGGGGAAGGGGTGACGAAAGGGTTAGGGGTTAAAGTGTTTTGAAGGAATAGAGGAAGCCGGGGGGAGAGGGAGAGGGAGGGAGAGAGAGAGGGAGAGAGAGAGAGAGAGAGAGAGAGAGAGAGAGAGAGAGAGAGAGAGAGAGAGAGAGAGAGAGAGAGAGAGAGAGAGA